ATGATGACAGGAACTCTAGTTTACAACACACATGTAAGGTGAATAGAGGTCTCAACAATTGGGGGTTCCCGAATTGATAGCATTTATGCGTTCATCGTTTGTGTGCTTGGGCATATCGCATGACCTGGGGTCAAAAAACTGGAAGGTAGGACAGATTTTGAACATTCCTAACAGGTGTGCCGCAGTGCACTGAAGATCGGTTTCCATCATCGGTAAAAATTCCCCTGATATAAAACTGCCATCATATTTTAACAAACTCATACCAGAAAATGTGCACACTACCCGGTGTTTAGCCTAAGCAAGGATAAAGAGCATGCAAATTATCTTTCGCTAGAGCGTAATATTTTGGGAGTTGAAAAACTATGTCAAGGCCATGTTTTACTCTGTGAAACACGCATGTACCATCTCATCTCGCCATATTTCAGTTTATTTCCTTTGAAAAATATATTTTTTCAACTGGAAATCCATGTTTCTCAGCTGTCTTAAATAGTTCTTCTAGCTGCCCTCGTTTGTACCCATACTCACTCACTCTGCTATCTTTAAAAATGCTGTCTCAAATATGCTACTAGCTCCTTTCGGGTTGCATGTCTAGCAGTGCTCTTTTGACTTTTTATATTTTTATATCGTTCGTTGCTAGGTAGGTTACTCATGCGCAAATAGAATTACATCGCGTCTGACGGTAATTCGGGAATTGGAAATTGAGTATTGTGCTATAAGACTGCTGAGATTCACAAGGACATTGTCATGCCACGGAATATTTCACAGTACAACCAGTCATCAGAATAGACATGTGTCTGTGATGCAGAAGCTGTTCCATCTTCACGCTCGCAGGCTAATATGTTTTAATTCTTCTGTGATAGTAAAAATGTGATATGCCAGAAACACTGGTGGGTACTAACGTACTTGGTACCTTCATCACCAAACACATTCTTTCTATCCCTCTATTCCAAAAACATACGGAGATCAATCTGTAAATTCCCATTTTCGAACAGCATACAAACAAGGTTTAGTTTACAAGTTATGTGACACTTAAAATAGCTGTTAAAAAAATATGCGGAATTAAAATAAGTATCTAATTTGCATAAACATGTATATGACGACTGTCTGTTCGTTAATGGCAGAGTGATTGTGTTTGTGGTTGTATATTGAGCCAGCATGGTCAAAAGTCAAAACATACTAATTTTGTATCAAAACATCTAAGATTAAACTGTGGTTAATTCATTAAAGGTAACTTATTCTGCAGGATTGGAAGTGGATCATGGCTGTCGACTGGTTGGTTCACTGTGACATTACTTTTGTATTCCTGTGATGAAATAAGAATATATGGTATGGTTGAGTCTGATCACTGTGACAAGTAAGTAACTACTAAGTGTATTCAAGATCAAGGTTGGTGAGGATGGTGATGAAGGTGGCATTGAAAGGGGTATAATGTAGAGTTACAGGGTGTAATGGCTACATCTTGTAATGTTACAGGGTGTAATGGTTACATTTTGAATCCTTACAGGGTATAATAGTTACATTTTGTAGTGTTACAGGGTATAATGGTTACATTTTGTAGTGTTACAGGGTATAATAGTTACATTTTGTAGTGTTACAGGGTATAATTGTTACATTTTGTAGTGTTACAGGGTATAATAGTTACATTTTGTAGTGTTACAGGGTATAATTGTTACATTTTGTAGTGTTACAGGGTATAATAGTTACATTTTGTAGTGTTACAGGGTATAATTGTTACATTTTGTAGTGTTACAGGGTATAATGATTACATTTTGTAGTGTACA